TATGATATTTTGTCAGGTTATCTGTTTTTAGCTATATGTTGTATGTACGATATTTTGTCAGGTTCTGTTTTTAGCTATATGTTGTATGTACGATATTTTGTAAGGTTATCTGTTTTCTGCTATATGTTGTATGTATGATATTTTGTCAGGTTATCTGTTTTCTGCTATATGTTGTATGTACGATATTTTGTCAGGTTTTGTTTTTAGCTATATGTTGTATGTACGATTTTTGTCAGGTTTTGTTTTTAGCTATATGTTGTATGTACGATATTTTGTCAGGTTTTGTTTTTAGCTATATGTTGTATGTACGATATTTTGTCAGGTTCTGTTTTTAGCTATATGTTGTATGTATGATATTTTGTAAGGTTATCTGTTTTCTGCTATATGTTGTATGTATGATATTTTGTTAGATTATCTGCCTTTGTTTATTCTTGATATAACGGATTACATAAAATACCTATTTGTGTTTTTAAATCACATTGTTTAAAAGATTAAAAAGTATTGTTAAGTTAGTGTGTTTCAATGAATATTCTTACTTCACGGAATGAGTATGGGATTCTTTTTAAACTACATTGGTCTTACAGTAAATTTTCTTTAAATAGTCCGTCTCAGTACAGGTGTTGTTGTTTTGTATACCCGGTAAACTTTTATATTGTTATAAGTTGACTTGTGTTTGATCTACCAAGTACTGAATCTGTGGTGTTCGAACACACATTTCTTACACCTGTTATGATGCTCAGTAAATGGCTTTTATATTATCGGATACTGAACACGCAGTGTACAACACATATTCTTGTTCATGGTGGAGTCATCCAATTCCTGGTGAGGAGGCTTAAATGGGATCGACGAAAAAATTGAGGGGGCTACACTCTACAACTTGTTTCCTCACATACCTTAGTATTTAGGAAGTGGACCGTTTTAACAGAAAGAAAAATAAAACAAATAATGGTGAAACACTCACTAAATCCAAATAACTTTATTAACGAATACGAAAACAACTTTTACCAGCTTTAACATTACCCATTGTTCATTCGGTGCGAAGGCTACGGGGGGGGGGGGGGTGAGGCACACTGTGGGGTAGCTTCAGCAAGCCCCCATCCCCTTAACGATGCCCCTGTTTTTCTTAGCTACCAGGTGCTTAACTGGTGCTATTTCTCATACTTCTAAATAAACATGCCTTTAATTAACCTTAGATACAATTCGTAATAAATCATTGTTTATTGTAGCTTTAGACTAAACCATCAGATCTGGATCTGAATCGGTCCGAAAGCTAAACCATCAGATCTGGATCTGAATCGGTCCGAAAGCTAAACCATCAGACGTGAATATGATTGGTCCGAAAGCTAAACCATCAGACGTGAATCTAATCGATCCGAAAGCTAAACCGTCAGACGTGGATATGATTGGTCCGAAAAGACCTGCGTCTATCTGATTGTGTTTTAAGTGTTTCGATTTTATAACAAGCAGTTCCTGTCCTTTCTGTGACTTACATCTGTAGACAGATTTCTTTCCAGTTACCAGTTTTTGTTTTTTTATTGTATAAAAATAAACACTTTTCTGTAACTGTGTTTGAATGTGTAAATGGTGTGTGAAATCTTCCTTCTCTATTTCTTTTATTTCCCCTTTACCCTAAACAAACCGAACACGTTTTATGATACTTGTGTTACTGCTCCCGGATGATCCCACAAAGAACTCGGCTTCAGAGAAGCCATCTCAGAGTACGTGAGTGTTTTTCTACTCGTGGGAAAGACAACACTCGGGTAAGAGCTGTTTGAGGCTCACCCACGGCAACAAGGTCGTGATTGTTGCTGCTCTAAGAGGTAAACAAGAAACTAGGCGTTCGTTCAAACTCAGACGGACGCTCATACAAACGTGTAGGATGGTAGATGTACATGCAGGAAGAGAGAGTAGCTGTATGGTTTATACTCTACTAATGCTTGCTTTACTGATACCTCCTGGGGTTCCTAACGTCTATTTACCTTGCTCTCCTTCATCATTTGTACCTCGTGGGAGACTGAAAAGGAGATGGGAATAAATCCATGCGAACCGACCGTTTATTGAAAAGATTTAGATCTGAGACTACAGGATACGAGTTCTTTTAAGGATAGTTTTTACAAAATGTTTTGAATAGAGAAGTATCCCTTCAAAAAGCATCTCTCAACATATCAAACTTTGGAACATGAAAGAAAACATTATATATATATATATATAGAGAGAAAGGAATTTCCTTTTATTACAGCGTAATGTATATTTAAGAGAAACTTAGCAATAAGTACAGTTAAGAGCAACGTAGCAGCATCGGTAAATCGTAAATTATCATAGTTCCAGAGAGACCAATATTTCGTGAAACATCTAAGGAAGAACTACAGTTATGTGGTTTTTTAACTTGAAATATGATTAGGTAGTTTCAATGAGCAAACCACTTGAGTTTTTATTTGAATTCGAATATTTGTAGCAATGTTTTTTCTCAGGACTATGATTAGTTTGAGACACTCTAGCTTACAGTTTGTTTTAAGCGCAAAACAATGGGTTATCACTGCTGTACAGAGTAAATCCGGAAGCTAGACGTTTTTGTTTTCTTTTACATTTCGCGCAAAACTACACGAGGATTATTGGCGCTAGACGTCCCTAGTGAAAGACTAGTGGGAAGGCAGCTAGTCATCACGACGGGGATTCGAACCCGCGACCTACAGATTGCGAGTCGAGCACCCTAACCACTTGGCCATGCCGGGCCCATTTATCATGAACTAATTTAGAGGTTTCTCTGGGAAATACTTTGTGAGCAAGAAGTGACACTAGCCAAAGTGTTCAAAAGAGTCTACTTAACAATTAGACGAATATCAATAAATTTGAGAACGGATTCTGACGAGAAGTATCCTCTATTGAATATGTTTAAGGAGTCTACTTTATATTACTGAAGATTGGTTGGATTTATTAAGAAAAAATCTGTTATAATATGAGTGTACTCAATATACACATTTTGTGGTGCTACAATAGTATAGTTCTGTAAGATGTGGTAATATTTTTCTTAACACCCACCATATGTGATACTTTAGACTAATGTTGCCACTTTGGAGGTTTTTACATATTTTACTCCGTGTGTGGAAGACGAATTTTGAGATAGTTTTGGTTATTGAATATCAGTTATCATTCCGTGAAACTTCAAATTCCCAAGATTAAATGTCAGTTAGTCCGGAGAGAAAAACGCTCGATGATGACATGTGTACTAAGTAAAAATCCCTTGTGACGTAGAAGATAAAACTTCATTCTTATATGTCTTAATATGTAAACATAAACTTTCGTTCCGAGCAAGAATAAGTAAAATAACTTTTACATTAAGTGTAAACATAAACTTACATTCCGAGCAAAATTAATATAATACCTTTTACATTAATTGAATATGTAAACATAAACTTTCGTTCCGAGCAAGAATAAGTAAAATAACTTTTACATTAAGTGTAAACATAAACTTACATTCCGAGCAAAATTAATATAATACCTTTTACATAATTGAATATGTAAACATAAACTTTCGTTCCGAGCAAGAATAAGTAAAATAACTTTTACATTAAGTGTAAACATAAACTTACATTCCGAGCAAAATTAATATAATACCTTTTACATTAATTGAATATGTAAACAGAAACTTACGTTCTAAGCAAGAATAAGTGTAGTACTTTTTACATAAATTGAATATGTAAACAGAAATTTACGTTCTAAGCAAGAATAAGTGTAGTACCTTTTACATTAATTACATATGGGAGATTGGACGGCAATAGATCACGGATTTTATTCAGTGAACAAGCTACGTTTTGGTGGATCATAAAAAAAACAAAAACACACTGATCAAAGCCTGGATTTATGTAAAACTTTTAGTGTTTTTGTTTTCAATAAAATGGCGCCCTCTATAACCCCAATCTTGAAGTATTATTTTGTGGTCAATATTGTTCAAGTCGAATTTAATTGTAGTATCTTTAAATAGTTCACTCGTCAGTTAAGTCACGTAACTGTTCTTATATTTAATTAATTTGGAAAATATGCAACAGCCCGCTTCTGATAATGAAGTTTCGAATTCCAAGATTTAATACAAATTCACTTTTCAGTTTGATTTTTTTTTTATAACGTATTAAAACAGGTCCTTCACAATGCTGGCTGTGCCTATAGCACACGACAAAATAACAAATAATTGTGCATGGATTAATGCTGTCGACTAGGGTTAGATTTAATTAAAAGTTTGATAACACACACCTTAATCTTAACTGTGGATACGATTTACTGAATTTCCAAATCGTTATTACTATAGGTTTTTGTTTTATTTCTGACATTAGTATCGTTGTAAGCATTGTTTTAAAAAAAATCACTTTAAGTAGAAAAAAATATAATAATTTGCAGTAAAAAATAAAGAGCAAAACAAACTTTATTGATTTAAACGCTTTCAGAAACAAACAAAAAACAACAACAGAAAACATCGAATTAATGACTTTCATTAAAAAATTTATATGGTTGGATCATAATGTAAAATATTATATGAAGATGAATTAAATCCTCTACACATAAAAATAATAAAGTATATTATATTCATACATAGCTAATAAACGTACAGCCAAACAAAATGATGTTAATATTCAGTTCGTCTATTCCTGACAACTGATACCAACATATCTCGATTGAAAAAAAACATGATCCATTAACTTCTTATATCATACTTCACACTACCATGTAGAAACAATATTTTTAGTATGTATAATTTATTAAACGTAAACAAATATTCACATATCCATTAAATGGAGATAATACTAAGTTATGTGTGATCTTTCATTTTTCCAAATTAATGTTAGCCGCGAAGGTCAGTATTACGACCAAAGGCCAGTTCCAAATAAACCACGTCTTTTTGGTCATCATGACAGCTGTTGAAGCTGAAATACACATAACATGATCTAAGATTATTGCTCTCAGTTTAAAAACGAAAATTTTCTTAAATTTCTACTTAAAGTAGAATTTGTTTAAGTGTTTCTTTCCCATTTGAAGTTAACCATTATTAACAACATTTAGTTACCCATTACTATACATTAACCCTAAGTTCTCAATATTTTGTTATGGTTTTTATTTCTTTAATGCTCTGTTGGATATCAGAAAATATTTGTCTCATTTTCTTCACTACACCCATTTGCCTAATTATGTAATTTTCCTATTTAGATATTTTTATTATTTGTTTGTAATTAAGCACAAAGCTACACAATGAGCTATATGTGCTCTGCCAACCACGAGTATCGAAACCCGGATTCTAGCGTTGAAAGTCTGCAGACATACCGCTGTGCCACTGGAGGGGCAGATATTTTTATATCGAAAAATATCAGCTATCTAATTCATTAGATATTTAGGTTTTAAAGCGCCATCTGTTTACATCTATATAGTTAAGAAATAACAGGTGTTATTGGTTGTCTTCATTGATTGCTAAATTTAATTAATCATGATTTTATTATATAATTTTTAATTCATAGCTATTAAATCCTTTGAAATGTATTAAAGGGTTTCATGATGGGGAAAAATAATTGTTATTTATACATATTAAAAGACATATTATGCATACAAAGACAGTAATTTAACAGAACTCTATACTGTGACGATTTCTACATCATTTTTCCAACCCAGAATTCCGCTGAACGCACCATTATTACACATACCTAAAATCAAATGACTAGGGTTAGATTGTTATTTATACATATTAAAAGACATATTATACATACAAAGACAGTAATTTAACAGAACTCTACACTGTGACGATTTCTACATCATTTTTCCTACCCAGAATTCCGCTGAACGCACCATTATTACACATACATAAAATCAAATGACTAGGGCTAGATAACTTTAGTTACATGTATCTGGCAAAAAACAGGTCGTAAAAATAATTAAATATATATATATATAATTTCTTAGCATGGTACACATATAGATTATTGGTTATACATCATTAGCGTATTGTAGCCAGGAAAATGATTAGTTATGTCGACAGTAAAAATAACCAGTTTTACTTAGCTAGAATAACGTTCATTTTAAAATGAATAGTTATGCTAATCTACCATAACCTAAATTGGTATACTTATATATAATTGTCATAAATAACAACCCCAAATTCTATACTTAACTATTGTGAAATACCTACAATTACACTTGCCTGATGTAATATATATATATATACTCAAATGTACAGGGTAATTACAAAAAGAATCCAATATCAAGAGTGATTAGGCCTTTACTCATTCTAAGGGAGCAACATTTCACCAGTCTAGGTGGTGTTTATTAAGAAAATCCGACGTTTAAAATGATTACACCTTAAGTATTCGTCCTAGGAAAGACATTTCACCACCATTGTGCAGTGTTATTTATTTTCTTAATTAATCATAAATTCATTTTTTTAATGTCCTTTATTTAAAACTAGAAAACCGTGCTTATAAATCAAAGAACCAAACAGACCGGAGTTTGAATTTAGCCGGATACTTTGTTCGTGTATATATATAAAAGTATCATCTTATAGTTCATGCCTGTGTGTAAGTATGTTTGGAAAGGAATGCCAAGTTACATATCTTTTGTAAAGTAGAGTTTGCTGTAAAACAAGTAGTTTTATGATATGATCAGTGTAAATACGTACGTTTTTAGTTTATAATCACATTATATTATGACTTCCTCGTTAAGACTGATAATTTTACGCTAACATGTGATAAGTTTATAAATATGCCACTTTACACTCTACTGATTACAAAGTTGTACATTTGTCATATACTTACTATTTACAACGTATACTGTAATATGCGTACTTTACACTCTACTGATTACAAAGTTGTACATTTGTCATATACTTACTATTTACAACGTATACTGTAATATGCATACTTTACACTCTACTGATTACAAAGTTGTACATTTGTCATATACTTACTATTTACAATGTATACTGTAATATGCATACTTTACACTCTACTGATTACAAAGTTGTACATTTGTCATATACTTGCTATTTACAACGCATACTGTAATATGCGTACTTTCGGTGGCACGGGATCCACACGAGTAATTTCCAGAGTCTTCTGGTATAGCACGTGGGATGTGTAATTTACTTAGGATGTTACCACTTCGGTTTTTTCTATATGTGATCACGGCTCTTTCATTTACCAGTGACCCTCCGTGATACCATTGACCAGGAGATCCACCGTCCATGAAGCATGTAATGGTAATGGACTCACCAGCTTCAATATGTATGAATGGCCCCTTAAATTTTGAGATAGTGGCATCTGGAAAGAGAAAATATCATGATACACTGTCGTTATCCTTAGTATCACATTTACAATGTCAATGTTAAATAAGCAGATGACGAGACTGAGTTTTTGTAAGACGTATGTATTAGGCAATATGTATCTATAAAGTTGTTTGTCATTAACTAGCTCACCTCGATTATAATATAGCAAGTTTCTCAAGCTTACCCGAAGATAAGGTCTTGTATGGGGTTTCCAAGTGACAGATTTTTAGTTGATGTTAACTAAGGTTACAAGAACTTGTATTAATTTTTATAAAATATTCTACATAACCTCGCAAAAGCAAATAATTTTATATCACGAGTAGTTTGACTTATTATAACAGTTTTAAGCCAAGTTTATTTCTAATTACATAGTTAATCTAAACTCAAGATAAAGAAATAAAACCAGTCATCTGTATTTCCAGGATTTTTCAGCGTTTACAGCTTCTCATTACTTTCGAACAATCGACTAACAAATCACACCGACCAAGAGCTAAAAAACACTTTGTTTCACTTAGTTATTGGCTCTACACAAGTGACTAATAAAAAACACCAAGAACTAAACACCACTGTAGATTTCACTATACTTTAATAATTTATTTTTTCCAAAGCTAAAAAAATCAGTTCCTGACATAATATATGCTTGCTAATAAAATCAGTTCATGTCATAATATATGCTTGCTAATAAAATCAGTTCATGACATAATATATGCTTGCTAATAAAATCAGTTCATGACATAATATATGCTTGCTAATAAAATCAGTTCATGACATAATATATGCTTGCTAATAAAATCAGTTAATGACATAATATATGCTTGCTAATAAAATCAGTTCATGACATAATATATATGCTTGCTAACAAAATCAGTTCCTGACATAATATATGCTTGCTAACAAAATCAACTCATGACATAACATATATGCTTGCTAACAAAATCAGCTCCTGACATAATATATGCTTGCTAATAAAATCAGTTCATGACATAATATATGCTTCCTAATAAAATCAGTTCATGACATAATATATGCTTGCTAACAAAATCAGTTCATGACATAATATATGCTTCCTAATAAAATCAGTTCATGACATTATATATGCTTGCTTTATTTTACTTTCGAAGATTGTATGTCAGTTGCTTCACACAAAATAGCAAAAACTAATGTTTTATGACACGAACAAGGAAGCATACAGGGTCGTAGGGCATAAATCTTAGTCAAGCACGGGGGGAGAATGTTGGAGGGGCTCTTCCCTTCAAGACATTTCAAGACGTTTCACTTAGTATTATGGACATCTGACTGTCTTCAGGTTCGTAATTAATGTTCAGTCCCAACGTTAAGGATAGACAACATAAGAAGCTGCCTAAAGCCCCAAATTCCCAGGGGCTCCGTTGTGATCAGAGACGCAACCTTACTTCCAGCCTGGGATGCCACTTAAGCTGTCGCCGACCTTGCCAGTGGTGATTATACACACGTGGCTCTAAAGTTTCTGGATTAAAAGCATATAATCGTTTCTGAAGCCCAAGGTGAAGATATTTGGTAAATCTCCATAATGCTGTTTCGATAATGTGGTGAATGAGGTAATGATGAAAGGTCCATTGTTTCTGGGATACAATAAATGTATTAATGGTTATAGGCTCATTGTTTCAATAATGTGGTGAATGAGGTAATGGTTAAAGGCCCATTGTTTCAAGAATGTGGTGAATGAGGTAATGATTAAAGGCCCATTGTTTCAAGAATGTGGTGAATGAGGTAATGATTAAAGGTTCATTGTTTCAAGACTGTGGTAAATGAGGTAATGGTTAAAGGTCCATTGTTTCAAGACTGTGGTGAATGAGGTAATAGTTAAAGGCCCATTGTTTCAAGAATGTGGTAAATGAGGTAATGGTTAAAGGCCCATTGTTTCAAGAATGTGGTAAATGAGGTAATGGTTAAAGGC